CCTGTCCTCTCCAGCTCTTACTATTTTCCACTTGTTACATAAAATTCCATTCACTCTGCCCGTCAGTTGGCCATCAGGCTCAGCATCTGCTTCTGCATGGCAGAGGCTTTCAGAGGCCCTCTGTGGCAGGTTCCTAGGTTGTTTCCTATTTTTTTTTTTTTCCTTCTGATGTCCATCCTCTTTGCCTTTCAGGATGGGCATTGAGCATTTTAGTTAGGGTCCTCTCTTTTGCTTAGTTTGTTTAGATGTACAGATTTTAGCGGGTTTATCCTATGTTGTATGTTTATATGAGTGAGTATATACCGTGTGTGTCTTTTTGCTTCTGGGACAACTCACTCAGGATGATCCTTTCCAGGTCCCACCATTTACCTGCAAATTTCATGATTTCCTTATTTTTCATTGCTGAGTAATACTCCATTGTATAGATGTACCACAGTTTCTGCATCCATTCTTCAGTTGAGGGGCATCTGGGCTGTTTCCAGCTTCTGGCTATTACAAATAAAGCTGCTACAAACATGGTTGAGCAAATGTCCTTTTTGTGTACTTGAGCCTCTTTTAACGCTATTCCTAGTTGTCTGAGAAAGTACCAGATTGATTTCCAGAGTGGTTGTACAAGTTTACATTCTCACCAGCAATGGAGAAGGGTTCCCCTTTCTCCACAACCTCTCCAACATGTATTGTCCCTTGAGTTTTTGATCTTGGCCATTCTGATGGGTGTAAGGTGAAATCTCAGGGTTGTTTTGATTTGCATTTCCCTAATGGCTAATGAGGTTGAACATTTCTTTAAGTGCTTCTCTGCCATTCGATATTCCTCTACAGAGAGTTCTCTGTTTAGCTCTGTTCCCCATTTTTTAAGTGGATTACTTAGTTTGCTGCTTTTCAGCTTGTTTAGTTCTTTATATATACTGGATATGAGTCCTCTGTCAGATAAAGGGTTGGTGATGATTCTTTCCCAATCTGTAGGAAGTCGCTTTGTTTTGTTGACGGTGTCCTTTGCTTTACAGAAGCTTTTCAATTTTATGAGGTCCCATTTATTGATTGTTGCTCTTAGAGCCTGTGCTGTTGGTGTTCTGTTCAGGGTACCAATGAGTTCTAGGGTATTCCCCACTTTTTTTTTTTTTCTAGCCGATTTAATGTGTCTGGTTTTATGTTGAGGTCTTTGAACCACTTGGACTTCAGTTTTGTGCAGGGTGATAAGTATGGATCTATTTTCATTTTTCTACATGTAGACATCCAGTTGGACCAGCACCATTTGTTGAAGATGCTATCTTTTTTCCATTGTATGGTTTTGGCATCTTTGTCAAAAATCAGGTGTCCATAGTGTGTGGGTTTATTTCTGGGTCTTCTGTTCGGTTTCATTGATCCACCATTCTGTTTCTATGCCAGTACCATGCAGTTTTTATAACTGTTGCTCTATAATACAGCTTGAGATCACTGATGGAGATACCTCCAGAAGATCTTTTATTGTAGAGGATTGCTTTAGCAATTCTCAGTTGCTTGTTATTCCATACGAAGTTGAGAATTTTTCATTCCAGGTCTGTAAAGAATTGTGTTGGCAATTTGATGGAAATTGCATTAAATCTATAGATTGCTTCTGGTAAGATGGCCATTTTTACTATGTTAATCCTGCCAAGCCATGAGCATGGGAGATGTTTCCATCTTCTCATATCTTCTTCTAATTCTTTCTTCAGAGACTTGAAATTTTTTTCATACAAGTCTTTGACTTGCTTGGTTAGGGTTACACCAAGGTACTTTATGTCATTTGTGGCTATTGTGAAGGGTGTTGTTTCTCTAATTTCTTTCTCAGCCCTTTTGTCTTTTGTATACAGGAGTGCTACTGATATTTTTGAGTTAATTTTGTATCTGGCCACTTTCCTGAAGGTGTTTATAAGCTGTAGGAGTTCCCTGGTAGAGTTTTTGGGGTCACTCACATATGCTATCATATCATCTGCAAATAGTGATAATTTGACTTCTTCCATTCCCATCTGTATCCCCTTGATCTCCTTCAACTGTCTTATTGCTCTAGCAAGGACTTCCAGCACTATGTTGAAGAGATATGGAGAGAGTGGGCAGCTTTGTCTTGTCCCTGATTTCAGTGGGATTGCTTTTAAGTTTCTCTCCGTTCAGTTTGATGTTGGCTATAGGCTTGCTGTATATCGCCTTTACTATGTTTAGATATGTGCCTTGTATCCCTGATCTCTCCAAGACTTTAAACATGAATGGATGTTGGATTTTGTCAAATGCCTTTTCAGCATCTAGGGAGATTATCATGTGGTTTTTTTCTTTCAGTTTGTTAATATGGTGGATCACATTGATGGATTTCCGTATATGGAACCACCCCTGCATACCTGGGATGAAGCCTACTTGGTCATAGTGGATAATATCTTTGATGTGTTCTTGTATTCGGTTTACAAGTATTTTGTTAAGTATTTTTGCATCAATGTTCATAAGGGAGATTGGCCTGAAGTTCTCTTTCTTTGTGAGTCTTTGTGAGGTTTAGGTACCAAGGTGACTGTGGCTTCATAGAATGAGTTTGGTAGTGTTCCTTCTGTTTCTATTTTGTGGAATAGTTTGAAGAGAATTGGAGTTAGCTCTTCTTTGAAGGTCTGGTAGAATTCTGCGCTGAAGCCATCTGGTCCTGGGCTTTTTTTTTTGATGGGACACTTTTGATGACCGCTTCTATTTCTTTGGGGGATATAGGACTATTTAATTGATTTACCTTGTCCCGATTCAGCTTTGGTAAGTCAAATCGATCAAGAAAATTGTCCATTTCATTTAGATTTTCAAATTTTGTGGCATATAGACTTTTGAAGTAAGTCCTAATGATTGTTTGGATTTCCTCGGTGTCTGTAGTTATGTCCCCCTTTTCATTTCTGATTTTGTTGATTTGGGTGGTGTCTCTCTGCCTTTTAGTTAGCTTAGCTAAGGGTTTGTCGATCTTGTTGATTTTCTCAAAGAACCAACTCTTGGTTTCATTGATTCTTTGAATTGTTTTATTTGTTTCTAATTGATTGATTTCAGCCCTGAGTTTGATTATTTCCAGCCATCTACTCCTTTTTGGTGTGTCTGCTTCTTCTTTTTCTAGGGTTTTTAAGTGGGCCATTAAGTTGCTTGAATGAGCTGTCTCGAATTTCCTCTTGAAGGCACTTAGTGCTATGAACTTTCCTCTTAGCACTGCTTTCATTATGTCCCACAAGTTTGGGTATGTTTTGTCTTCATTTTCATTGAGTTCTAGGAAGACTTTAATTTATTTCTTTATTTCTTCCCTGACCCAGCTGTCATTTAGTAACAAGTTGTTCAGTTTCCATGTATGTGTAGGCTTTTTGCTATTTCTGTTGTTGTTGAAGTCCAGCTTTATTCCATGGTGATCAGACAAGATACAAGGGATTATTTCAGTCTTCTTGTATCTGTTGAGGCTTGCTTTGTGACCAACTATATGGTCTATTTTGGAGAAGGTTCCATGAGGTGCTGAGAAGAAGGTAAATTCTTTTGTGTTTGGGTGTAAAGTTCTGTAAATGTCTGTGAGGTCCATTTGATTCATGACCTCTGTCAGAGATATTGTTTCTTTGTTTAATTTCTGTTTTGTTGACCTGTCCTTTGTTGAGAGTGGGGTGTTGAAGTCTCCCACTATTAATGTGTGGGGATCTATATGTGTTCTGTATACTTACTGTTTTGATTATTATGTGGCGGGAGGATTTTCTTTTCTGGTCAAATTTGTTGGGTGTTCTGTAGGCCTCATGTATTCTTATTGGCCTCTCCTTTAACTTGGGGAAATTTTCTTCAATGTTTTTGTTGAAAATATTTTCTGGGCCTTGGTGAAGGGAGTCTTCTTTTTCCTCTATACCTATTATTCTTAGCTTTTGTCTTTCATATTGTCTTGGATTTCTTGGATGGTCTGTGTCAGGAATTTTTTGGATTTAACATTTTCTTTGACAGATACATCGATTTCTTCCATTGTATCTTCTACACCTGAGATTCTTTCTTCCATTTCTTGTATTCTGTTGGTTATGCTTACCTCTGTAGTTCCTGTTTTCTTCCCTAAATTCTTCCTCTCCGTTATTTCCTCCATTTGTGTTTTCTTTAATTTTTCTAGTTCTATCTTCAGGTCTTGAGTTGTTTTGTTTACTTCCTTCACCTGTCTGATTGTATTTTCCTCTTTTTCTTTTAGTTCTTTCAACTCTGTTTCTTTTATTTCTTTCAGGGATTTAATTATTTCTTCTCTGAAGGCCGCAAGCTGTTTTTTCCCGTATTTCTTCTTGGATGGCCATAATCTGCTTGTCTTTAACTTCCTCCATTTCTTTACGGATAGCCATGATCTGTTTGGTTTTATCTTCCTCTAATTCTTTACATATTTTATTTGTTTCCTCTATTATCCTCTTCATCAGCATAGATGAAAGGTCATCTTCTTGATTTTCTATTATGCTGCGTTGTCCTGGGTTGTTTGTCCCTGGATGGCTGGGTTCTGGAGATGCCATATTGCTCTGTCTTTTGTTGGTTGAGCTTTTATGCTGACCTCTACCCATTGGGCTGTTTTAGGTGTTGGCTGTTAGTTTCTGTGCTTCCTGCTTCCTGAGGTAGGGAGAATCCCCTTGGCCGGAAGGTGATCATAACTTAATACCTTATGTTTATACTCCACCGTCTTCCCAGCTCCATTAACAGTATATTTTTATTAACATTTAAAGACTTTTTTGTGTGACACTGTTTTTCACAGACTAGCCTAGGGACAGTAAATTACATTCCTACTTTTGTTTTTGCAGATGTGAATCAGTATTAGAAGATTAAGTAACTTGCTGATAATTAATACTGTAGTAGATAACAGTGAGGAGTAAAATGGTGAAATGCAGATCTACTCTACTCCAGAGTTCTGATAAGTTGCCTTAGATTATTAACCTCACTTGAAAGCAGACATGTCAAAATTCATTTGTAGCCTTTTCTATGCAAAGCAAAGAAACCACTAAGGTATCAAAGCAATGCATATTTAACCTTCAATTTAATTTCAGTGTGTGGCTGTACCAAGCAATGTTGTCACGGTTACTCCTGCCAAGCCGGTAAATGCTGTATCTGTCCTGAAGCCATCAGGTTTGGGAATATTATCAACTCCCTTAAATGACTCCAATCTCAAAGCAGAGACCCCAGTAGCTGCACAGACTAGTCTTTCTCCGGTAAACTTTTACTTTATCTTACATTTAATTCCTTGCTATGATCCAATGCCTCTTTACTAACATTTGTGATTTTTTTTTTTTTTTTAAATATCAGGCAGTGCTAGAAAATGTGAGAAAATGTAAAAACTTCCTTTCAATGTTAATAAAACTAGCATGTAGTGGATCACAGTCTCCAGAAATGGGGAAGAATGTAAAGAAGCTGGTGGAACAACTTTTGGTAAGTTACTTTTGTATAATTTTGCTAACTTTTTTTTTTTTTTTTTTAGAATCCAGAAGACATGTTTCAAATCGGAAATAGTGATGTTTTAATGAGATTTGTTTAAGTATATTTGTTAAAACTTTTTGCTTTATTAAAACTACATATAGAAAAGTAAATCTTTAATATGTTTAATTTTTCTTATATCTAAGATAAACATGATCTTTTGAGTAGTTATTTTTATGTCACTCTTTTCTATGTATATTTTATGGACAGATAGCAATAATTGTAAACCCATTAAGTAATCCCGTTTAGTTTAAGATCTATTTATCGCAGACCAGCAAACAGAAGATCTCAAATATTTTGCTAGAGGATACCTTAATAGTCTTAAAAATCAAACCCACTGAAGGTAATTTTATTTTTTGTGCTCTTGGAATTAAAACTACATATTAAAAAACTGTTCAACTAAGAATAACAAAGTCATTGTATATTAACATATATAATATTTAAAAAAAAACTACAACTTCCCAAATAATGAAACTGAGTGGGAAGTGATTTTGCATTTTGTAAACTTGATACTGCACTTAGTAGAAAGTAGCTAGATATTTTTCCTTTATTCTATTTTGTAATGGGTTGTTAGAGAATTTCTGTCCTCCTACAGAGAAGAAGAATTTTGGTAGGTTTCTCTAGATCCTTGTGGATATTCTTTACTCTACAAGTTTATTTTTATACTGTGAATGAATCTCTTTACTGATGTATAATTTTTGTAATAGCGTGTGTTGTTTAAAACAAAATACTTATTGTTTGTAGAACTTCTAAAAGTTTTCAGATATTTAATGTTTTAAGGTAATGTGATTCCTAATTTCACTCACCCTTTTCATATGTGTATCTGTATATAGTTATAAAGCTATATCTCTAGCTACCTTTCTCCCTACATCTTGTGTGTTGGGGGGCTGTGGTGCGTATAAGTGTATACATGCCATACACTGATGACAGAGGATGCATCAAAGATCGTTTTGTATCACTCTGCTTCATTTGTTTGAGGCAGGGTCTCTCATTGAACCTGGAATTTGTGGTTTTTGGCTAGACTGGCAGCCAGCATGCCCTAGTTAGTAATCCTGTTTCTGCTTTGGTAACATTGGGGTTACAGGTGTTTGGAAGTTATACCTGATTGTTAAATTGATGTAGAGATCCAAACTCAAGTCTTTGTTACACAGCAAGCTTTTAACCATAGCCACCTCTCCAGTCCCCTCAGCAATCTTTTTAGAAAAGCTTTAAATTCTAGGAAGCTACCAATTTCGGAGAAAAGAATTATAAAATTTCCAGAATTGTTATTTAAGTTAAGAATTTCTGGTTTTTGTTGTTTTGAGACAGGCTTTCTCAGTATAGCCCTGGCTGTCCTGGAACTCACTCTGTAGACCAGGCTGATCTCAAATACAGAGATCCACCTGCCTCTGCCTCCTAAGTTCTGGCATTAAAGGTATGCACCACCACATCCCAGTGAGAATTTCAGTTTTTATCACTGGCAACGAATATTATGTTTTTGAGAAAAATGTCTACCAAATATCCTAGTATGAATGAAGGAAAGAAAGAAGACAGGTAAACAAGCATAAAAATATACCACTGGTTTTGCTAATATTTCACTCATAGCACTTTTCCTCTAGTATTTCCTTGTTTCTTAAGTAGAAATGGTTTATTATGTTGGTATATAATACTAAAAATATTTTGTAGTGAGATATTCTGATTTGTTAGAATTGGTTTTCCCTTTCCCTTTTAAAAATACTTTTATGTATATATGAATATATATATATGTTTGTGTACTACAAAAGGGCATCTGTTCCCCTGAGATTGGAGTGACAGATAGTTGTGAGCTGCCATGTGGGTGCTGGGTTCCTCTGGAGGAGCAGCCAGTACTCTTTAATTGCTGAGCCATCTCTTCAGCCCCTCTTTAATTTTTAATTAATTAATTAATTAATTAATTAATTAATTAATTAATTAATTTTATGTGCATTGGTGTTTTGTCTGCATGTAAGAGGGTTGGGTCCCCTGGAACAGGAGTTATAAACAGTTGTGTGCTGCCATGTGGGTGCTGGGAATTGAACCTGGGTCCTTTGCAAGAGCAGACAGTGCTCTTAACTGCCGAGCCATCTCTCCAGTCTCCCTCTTACCGTTTTAATCGCAAGTGTACAACAGTACACTGAGGACTGGCTCTGTCTTTCATTTATTTCTTAGCAGTAGTTTTGTGTTGACATTTACACTGTTAGTGTAAATCTCAACAGAGTGGTCTTACCCACCCCCTGCAAGATACCTGAAATGTATAGAGTAGAAATAATAGTTAAGCATTCATTGTTTCTTAGGAACTATTATAAATTTGCAATAACAGTTAAAAAGTTAAATCTTAGGTTCACTAAGGTAATTTAAAAGTTGAAGAAACAAAACAGTTTCACAATCAGCTCTTCTTTCACTTTGCATATTGGAATCTTCATAAAGAGAATAGTGTCTTCACTGTATTTTCTGATTGGACATGTCTAGTTCAGTTTTGTTTCTTAAAGTATTTGTAGATCTAAAAATAACTGTTTTTCTCTCTCTCATTCTTTAGGATGCAGAAATTGAAGCAGAAGAATTTACTAGGAAATTATATATTGAACTCAAGTCTGCACCTCAGCCGCACCTTGTCCCTTTTCTTAAGGTAGTGATGGATTTTTTTTTTAAAGTTTATTTTATGTACATTGGTGTTTTGACTGCATGTACATCTATGTGAGGGTGTCCTGTTCCCTTAGAACAGGAGTGCAGACAGTTATGAGCTACCATGTGGGTGCTGGGAATTTTGAACCCTGGAAGAGCAGCCAGTGTTCTTAACCGTTGATATACCTTTCCAGCCCCAGTAGTGATGTATTTCTCTGGAGAAATTGTTTGGGTTAAATTACTTTAATTTCAAACCTGAATGTTTGAATGGAAATCAGTGTGAAGAAACTAATGCTGAGAGAAACCTTAGCACTTTTGTAAAGTATAGGACAACATTCATAGTATTGATTGGAACAGTTTAGAAAAATAGGCATAATAATAACTTTAAAACAGTTTATTTGCATTTAGTTATTTTGTTGGGAGTTTATAACACATATATGGAGGTCAGAGGACAACTTGTAGGAGTAGGTTTTCTTCTTCCCCAAGAAGGTTCATGGTATAGAACTCTGGTTACCAAGTTTGGTGGCAAAAATGTTTACCCACTGAGCCATCCCACTGGTTCCCCAAGAAAAATATCCTTTTCATGAACGTAACTTAGTATTGTGATGACTTAGTATTGTATAATGTTTGTATTGGAATATATTCAAAGATTTTTGTTTTTAGTTTGTGTAGTGTGTGTAGTGTGTGTGTGTGTGTGTGTGTGTGTGTGTGTGTGTGTGTAAATGTATCTGAATGTGTATGGGTGCACACATTTTGTGTATGTGTTAAAGCCAGAAGAGTTAGGGGTTTGTGTGTGTGCGTGCGTGCGCGTGTATTGAAGAGGTTGAAGTTGGGCATCTCCCTAAATTGCTTTGTCTCTCACAAAACACAGCTCATAGATTTGTTTAGTTTAGCTAGCCTGCTTGCTTCAGGAATTACTTGTCTCTGTGTCCCAAGTGCTAGGATTTCGGGGTATTTACATGGGTGTTGAGGATTCAAACTCAGGTTCTTAAGTGCTTTTAAATTCTGAGTCATCTCCTCTTTTTTTTTTTTTTTTTTAAGACAGCATTTTATGACGTAACTGAGGAGTACCTTGAATTTCTGATCCTCCTGCCTCCACCTCCTAAGGGCTGGGATTATAAATACAAGCTGCCAGTGCCTTACTCAGAGACAGCGGGTAGGGAGGGTTGAATCAGAATGAGGTCTTGGTGATCCATGTTAAAATAAACCAAACATGGTTTATTAGTGCCAAATTTAATATGTTTATGATTTAGTTAATTTACTATTGCCAAATGAAGTGTGATTATAATTTTTAATAATTTATAATGTTGACTTTCCTCTTCTGAGTTATTGAAGTAAATAAATTTTTTATGAAGAACTGTATCTTTGATAACAAGAATTTATTTTGACAGTAAAAAAAGCATTTAGATTTTCAGAAGTTAAAAAGGAATTAAACTGAAATTATAACGTCATTAAAGACCCAGGACTGTAGTGAGTTAAAAGTTTGCTTTATAAGTATTGAATTAATAGAAGGAGGAGTTAGTTGCCTTTTAAGAATGTTGGGCTAATGATCCAGGAGAGATAATAGACAGTTCATTGGAGACAGTTACTGTGTTTTGTGAAGGATGAGCAGGAAGGGGGTGGGAGTACCCTGTTTTCATAAGGATGTTTAAACAGTGGGTACTCTTTCTGAGTAAGTGACCGGATTGATGTGGTAAGTACAAATTGTGGTAAGAAGGACCAAAGAAACTGAGAAAGTATTAGCCAAAGACTTGGCCTTAGGGTAGGAAGAATTGAAAGATTAGCACAGTACCTAGCATTACATTTTTAAGGCATAAATAAAATGAGATTTGGTCTTTGCACATCCTAGAGCCATAGCTAGGATTAGGTAGGTTTAGAATGTGAGGTTGTGTTTGTGAAATGACCCATGGCCATGATCTGGATGCCCTGGCCTACTTACTGAGATAGTAGAGGCATTACCTTCAAGGCCCCTTCATTGCTAAGGTGTTTTAGTTGCAGGTGGTATTCACAGTAGCAATGTTCTCCTTAGTCCATTGATGCTTTGCCCCTATTGGATGCACTAGGAGGGAAATTGATAATGTCTGCTGTTTGACAGATGATGTTAGTCAGCTTTCCATTGTAATAATAACTGTTTGAGCTGATAAACTTAAAGAGAAAGGTATATTTTGGCTCACAGATTTTATAGTTTCCAGTTTGTGATTGGCTTGCCTATGGCATTAGCTGTATGATAACATATCATGGTGGCAGCATGTGATAAAAAACTGCTTACGACATATCCTGGGAGTGAAAGAGATAGAAGAGATACAGTCTTATAAATAGCCTGCCCCCAGTGTTCTTAATATGAGGTCTCACATTAGTATTTTTTCGTAGTGCCACGCTGGGGACCAATTCTGTAATTCACAGGCCTTTGAGAGATACTGAAGATCTATCTAAACCACAGAAGATGTCCATTGTTTGCACTTGATTGTCATGTAACCTTTTGAGAATATATGCCAGATAGTATTTATTTTCTATTTTAGAGAGAAGAAGAACCATTTAAATTGCCTTTGGTTTTTTTTCCCATGATTTCTTTGTTTTTATATTATGAGTATGCATGTATGTGAATGCACGTCCTGGGTGTCTAGTGTCCCAGTAGGTCAGAGGTGTTCGATTCTCTGTAATTGGAGTTGTGGATAATTGTGAGTTGCCATGTGAATGCTGGGAACCAAATCTGGGTCGCTTATAAGAGCAGTGAATGCTTTTACCAGTGAGCAGTTGGTGCAGCCCTTTCTCTTTTTGCCAAGGCCCATTTTCTGTGTAAATGTGCATTTGAGTTCATGCCGTGTGTGGGTACCCTCAGAGGCCAGAGGAGGGCTTCTCATACCTGAGCTAGGGTTACTGGTGTTTTTGAGCCGCCCAGTCGATGCTAAAAACTGAACTGGGGTTAACTGTTGAGTCATCTCTTTAGCAGCTTTTATTGTTGTTGTTGTTTATTTTTTGTTTTTTGTTTTGTTTTGGATGGTTTTTGTTTTTTTGAGACAAGGTTTCTCTGTGTAGCTCCAGCTGTCTTGAAACTCTGTAGACCAGGCTGACCTCAAACTTAGAGATCCACCTGCCATGGCCTCCCAAGTGTTGGAATTAAAGGCAAGGGCCACCACTGCCTAGCCAGCTTTTTCTTTTTAAAAATGCTTTCATTAGCATATATTAGTTATATGTAGCAACAGGTTTCATTATATTTTTAAACATGTATATGTGTATTTTGGGCATATCTAGCCCCCATTATTATCTCTTTTCTTCTCTCATTACCGATGATCTCCTTCATCCCAACTTTTCTATTTCATGCGTTTTGCTTACTAGTTTGATTTGCTTGATTTTTGATGACCAAATGAGTTTCATTAGAGTGGCTTACAAGAACAAGAGTTAAGGATGGTTTATTTAAATGAAAGTGGCACACACCTTTAATTCCAACATTTAGGAGGCAGAGGCAGGTGGATTTCTTGAGTCGGAGGTTAGCCTGGTCTACATAGTGAGACCCTGTCTCTCAGGAGAAAGAAAGAGAGAGAGAGAGAGAGAGAGAGAGAGAAAGAAAGAAAGGGAGGGAAGGAAGGAAGGTGTGCCTTACAGGTGGCCACACTGAAGAAAACATTTTTCCCTCCTCCATTAACCATTAACTACTCAAAAATCACCAGGAAGTAGTGAGATTCAGGTTCCCTCCACCCTCCACTACAGAATGAACAAATTTTGTTGAAGGAACAAATTTTGTGCCTATTATTTTCTTAAAATGTTCTTTATGTTTTGAGAATTTCATAAATGCACACTATATATTTGATCATATTCAGCCCCAAACCATGACTCTCCCTATCCAGTCCCTATTTCCCATGTACTCCAAACTTCATGGTCTCTTTACTTCCCTTCTCTTCTCTTTTCTTTAAAATAACAAACAAACAAACAAAAAAACCCAATTACTTCATTTTGTGCCACCCATATGGTCTCATGGGTATAAGATCTTTTGCAGTGAGGTCAGTCTACAAAGGGCCACACTCTCCAAGAAACTATTAGCTGTCAATAGTTAGTGGTTGGGGTTTGTGAGTTCTTCCGTACACCGTATGGGATGTTGACAGCTTTGATTTTGTGCCTGTCTTATGTAGGTGACTATGGCTTCTTGCTCTGAGCTCATAAGTAAAGTAGTCCTGTCATTCCTGTCACATTTAGAAGACTACTTACTTTTGTGCAGTCCTCCTGACCTGGTTCTTGGAATTCTTTCTTCTCATTCTTCTGAGATGGTTCCTAAGGCTCATGGGGAAAGTGTTAGTGTTATTTTTATAAAACTGTGTGTATGTTTTTTCTTTTAGTTCCTCTCTTAACGCAGCTATCACAAAGAATTGGGACTCTGTTATATTATTTTAACAAGCTTTTCAGCACATTCCTGAGCAGTATTAAGTATTCTTAACTTTCTAAGCTAATTTGACTTACTCCCAGCGTACATCCCAGAGATACGTGTGATTTGTAGCTTTCATTGTTCTAGCTCCTTCTCCTAATGTCTCTTGGACCTCTTCTGTGGCTGATTCCCCTGGCTGAATCCCGTACTTTTTCCTCTAACTCCTCCCCTGGCGGAAGTCCAGCTCTATTTTCTCCCCTGCTTGGAGGCTGGCTATTAGCTGCTTTATTGGCATACCAGGGGACAATTGGGGAACAGAAGTTATACGACATTGAGATAAAAGATTCTCAGAACAAAGATTGTAACCAGATATTGGTGGTATAAAAATCAATGTTTAAATTCACAATTACTGGGGGAGATAGAAAGAACTGGAGGGGACAGGAACTCCATAAGGAGAGCAACAGAACCAAAAATCTGGCACAGGGGTCCTTTGTGAAACTAATACTCCAAACAAGGATCATTCATGGAGATAACCTATAACCCCTGCATAGATGTAGCCAATGGCAGCTCAATATCCAAGTGAGTACCCTAGTAAGGGGAATAAGGACTATCTCTGACATGAACCCAGTGGCTAGCTCTTTGATCACCTTCCCCTGAGCAGGGAGCAGCCTTATTTGTCCACAGAGGAAGAAAATGAAGCCAGTCCTGATGTGACCTGATAGACTAGGGTCGGATGGAAGGGGAGGAGGACCTCCTCTATCATTGGACTGGAGAAGGGGCATAGGAGAAAAGGGAGGAAGGGTAGGAATGGGAGGGGATGTGGGAGGGGGGCCTACAGCTGAGATACAAAGTGAATAAACTAATTAATAAAAATAAAATAAAAATGAAAAATCACACACACACAAAATTCACAATTACCTTATGCCTACAGTAATAGGTGTTATATAGATGTCCCATTTGTGGCTGAGCATTTCACAGATTATTTATTCCCTTCACTTTGAACAGTTTTGAGTTTCTGTGTTAACTGCCACCCATTGCTCAAAGAAACTTCTCTGATGAGGTCTGAGAACTGCATTAATCTGGTTTAGAGATTAAAATTTAGAGAACAGTTTGATACTGTGTTTGTTTAGCGGAATAATAGCAGTAGGGTAACTACTAGGACATATGAGCTACCCTAAACATTGGTCCCTGGACAGGTTTACAGTACCAGGCATGTGTTATTCCTCTAATGTCCTGTAATGTGCCAGTATTGCACCCATGATTATATTTTTGCCAAGCAAGTTGTTAGTATAATTTAGAGGATTCTCTAGTTAAGACCTTTAATGGCTTACACCCAGGAGCCTGCATAATACCTTCTAGTACTGTGAAAGCTATCCAGTAGGAAGTTAGCTTCCGGATTGGTACCAACTTGGTGTCTCCATGTCCTTTAGCCAAAGTGTGTGTTGTCTTCCAGAATAGGGTCTCACCAAATAGAAACAGTCTGTATTGTCTAATTGGGTCTCTGAACCCTTGTCTAAGAAGTTGAAAAGATCTGAAATTCAGTACTGGGCTTTTTATTTGACATCCTGTAGCTTCTTGGAGGCATATCATCCTCTAAGTAGGGTAGCTTGAAAAAACTATTTTATTGTATGTATTCATACATGTGCATATGAAATGTGTAAAATAGTATCATTTCTATATGCCTTTAAAAATATCCTTAGTGTTCATTTTCCCTCTCTCTACTCTAGCCTCTCATCTTTTCCCCCACTAAATCCTCTGCCTGTTTTTTCCTTTTATGCAGATCTTTTGAAGGTCTCCCTTTCCTCTGGTGCTTTAATATTCTTTTCCCAATTTAGTGATATTTCTATGATATTCAACAGTTGCTCATCCTTAGCACTTTGACCAATCATTAGTTTCTACATTTATTCGTCACCATTGCAGAAAGATGCTTCTTTGACCCAAAGCTAATAGCAACACTAATCTAAGGACACAAACATAGTTATTTAGAAAGCAGTTTGATAGGTATATAATGCTCATTTAACAAAAGAATAGCAGTAATATTGTCACTAAAGCCTATTACTTTCTAATCCCAGAGATTCTGAACAGGTTTATAGCAGCAGGATCTCAAATCCAGTCAGAAAGCCATTGATCACCTCAATTGCTGCTGTTGCACTAGTGGATGTATCTTGCCTGGCTAGTTGGTCTTGGTACGTGCAGAGTCCTGCAGCTGAATAGTACATTTGAGAACTCTGAGGTTTACCAGCAGGGAGGAACTTCTAGTTTAGTTTCAACTTTGTTTTTCTTTGTTTTGTGATCCTAGCATATGGCCTCCTCAGCAATAGGGTCTTTTATTTAGGTCTAGTGAGCAACTAACACTAGTGGTGATTGCCTATATTGTTTTGGGGCCTTGGGACTCTGACCGACAACTTGAAGCAGTAGCCTACACCTGGCAATAAAAAGTTCATTTAACGACCTCCATTCTAACTCATACTGTTTTTTCATCATTACAGTAGCAGGATCTCAAGTTTTGATCACCAAACATTGAATTTGCTTGTTTTTTTTTTCCTTGTTAGTTTTATTTGACTCTCCCCGCTTCCTCGATATGTTTGTCCCCCTTCTTGCTTAAACCTTTCTACCACTAGGATTACCCCCTTTGTATGATGTGTGCTAGAACTTGATTAGTACTAGCACGGTTGCTCCTCCTCCCATAAAGATTATTATTGGGAATTGAATCTAAGGCTTTGAACTCTAGTATGCTACCTAAATTCACTAACTTTTATTTATTTATTTTTAAGTAATCTCATGTATCTCAGAATGGCTTCAAACCATGTAGCCAAAGATGAACTTGAACTCATGATAGAAATGTGTACTGCCGTGCCCAGATTAAATTCAGTACTTCATTTCAATCAAACTTGTTTAGAATTTAGGCTGGCACTTGTCATATCACACTCCCTGTGAGGTACCACATATTACAGTGAAGAATTTGTGTGTTGTATCTGTTTCTTTCTTTCTTTCTTTCTTTCTTTCTTTCTTTCTTTCTTTCTTTCTTTCTTTCTTTCTCTCTCTCTCTCTCTCTCTCTCTCTCTCTCTCTTCTCTTTCTTCTCTCTCTCCTCCTTCTCTCTCTCACTCCCCCCCACCCCCTCTGTGACATGGTTTCTCTGTGTAGCCCTGGCTGTCCTGGAATTACTCTGTAGAGCAGACTGGTCTCGAACTCAGAGTCCCCTGCCTCTGCCTCTTGAGGGCTAGAATTAAAGCTGTATACCACCACAGCCTGGCTTTCTAAAGATCTGTGAATCTTCTTTAAAAACTTGATATTCCTGACATCACCAAGAGAGTTTGGGTGTTAAATGCTTCATAGAGATGATAGATTTGGCATTTTATCTTAATCCTGGTCATAATTAAGAAATAGTTAAATATACATTTATATTGTCTGTTTAACTCTCATTACTTTAACATTTGTTTCTAATTAGGTTTTCTTGAGACCTTACTTTAACATTTTCAGTTGAAATATTAGATTATTTTTTATTTTGTATTAGTTTTACTGTGATATAAAAACTTTACATCCAATGCTTGAAAACTTTTTAACAAAATGACCTAGATTCTACTGTGTTATAAATAATCTTCTATATACTAAAGTAATAATAATAATCTTATGGGTTTGGATGGGTAGAGAGTAGTATGCTACAGTGTTTTATTTTATCAAGTTGATCATTGACATATGCAAAATAAATTTAATATTTGTTCATTTAAATTACTATTTTCTCACTAGGAAGACACTTTGGCCTTTAAATTTATTGTATCTGGATATAATAAGGAAAAATGATACCAGTTTTTCTTGGCTTGATTATTTAACTTTATGTTATTCAATACAAATGTTGTTTTACTTTTAGCTTTTTCAGTTACCTCTGTCTCCCTTCCTCTATGTTTTTTTAGAAGAGTGTGGCTGCCTTAAGACAACTTCTTCCTAACTCCCAGAGCTTCATTGAGAACTGTGTTCAGGAAATTTCTGGTGAGGTAGTCATTGCCTCCTGTACCACGACAACGACAACTTCTCCTGTGGTGACAAGTACAGTTTCCCCAGTCCTTGTCTCTGGAGCAACAGCACCCAGAACTCTGTCTGTTCAACAGACTCTGAGTCCACTTGCTGTTCGAGGAGGAGCAAACACTGGAGTTGTGACACTACATTCTGTGACCCCAGCTGCTGCAACAGGAGATACAACAGCTCCAACTGTTTTGCTTCAGACTTCAAAACCACTTACAGCATCAGTACCAAATACAGTCACTGGAGTCTCCCTTCAGCCAGAGAAGCCAGTTGTGACTGGGGCAGCAGTAACACTGACCCTTCCACCAGTAACTTTTGGAGAAGCATCAGCTGCACCTCTTTGTCTTCCGTCCGTGAAACCTGCCAATACCTCTGCTGGGACCAAACCTGATAAACCCGTCATTGGCACTCCAGTCCAGATCAAACTTGCACAGCCAAGTTCTCTCCTTCCACAATCAGCTGGCATTCCACAGGCAGTCAAAGTCAAGCCACTAGTGAGTACCATTTCATTTCTTCCTCAGTTACTTACTTACACACACACACACACACACACACACAAATTTAGACATTCAGGAAACTGGCAGAACTTTGTATACTTCCAAATTTGACTATTGAAAATCTTTTAGCTTCAGTTGTTCAAATTCCCTCTGTAGTTGCATAGACAAGCTCACACATAGATTTTGCTGAACATTTGAGCGTTATGGAGGTTGTGATTGTGTACTTCAAATTTTTATGTATGTTTGTCTCTCTCCTTCTTCCTGTCCCCTCTTCCTGCCTTCTTTTCTTTCTCTTTTCCTTTCTTTCTTTTAAGTGCTAAAGATTGCACTAGACTGCCTTAAGCATTCTAGGCAAACATTCCACCACTGAGCTATATCACTGACCCTTTAAAAACATTTCAAAGTTTGAGACTAAATTTTTCAGGTTGGCCTTAATTTGCAATCTTGGGAGTACATGATTGTGCCCTCATCTGCGACTATGTATATCTCCAATGAGAAGGATGACTTTTAAATTAACATAGCCAAGCCTGCTGTCACACGAGACATTGATACATTTAGTAATTGTCCCAATATTAATCTTTTTTAAAAAATAATTATTTTTTAACATTTATTTGTTTTGTTTTATGTGTATGAGTATTTGCCTGCATGCATATATGCATAGGATTCACATAGATCCTCTTCTTTCTGATTCCTAAGTGTCGGGATTGCATTACTGTAATGATTTAAGTGCCTAGTCTAGTTATTTGGTAGGATATCTCTGTTTTGTGTTATTGTTTCAGTATTACATTTATACTAAAAAGTTTTGGAAGCTTATTACATAGGTGATTATTATGATCTTTTTTAAGTACTGAAGATTGAAGCTAGGGCCTTGTACATTCTGGGCAAGTATTCTATTACTGAGCTATAACCCCCAGCCTTTTGTAGCACTTTCTTTGTCTCTCTGTCTGTCTTTATCTCTTTGTCTCTGTCTCTGTCTCTCTCTGTTTGCATGTGTATGAAGCCAGAGGTTGACAGTGAGGTTTCTTCTGGATTGCTTTCCGCCTTTTTTTTTTTTTTTTAAGTTTTTTTTTTTTTTTTTTGGGGGGGGGGGGGGGGGGGGTAGAGAATGTATGCTGTTTTCTGTTACCTGAAGTGGCCAGAAGTAGGAATTGGAATTGTATGAAGTTCTGAGCCTCCCAGTGTGGAAATGAATTTTATGTCCTCTGGAAGAGCAGTAAATAGGCATAGCGGGAGGCCAGATTAAAGGGCAATCTAAGTGTTAAGTAGTGAGGTAACAGTCACTTAGAGAGCTCTTGTCTTCTTACCCCTTAACACTCTTGGTTTGAATTTCAAATGGAGCAATGTACAGGTTGTGGCAGGATTTCATTGGGTACCTGAACTTAAACCAAGACATGAGATATTTTACTTCTCTCCCCAAGACAGGGTTTCACTATGTAGCTCTGGCTGTCCTGGAACTATGTAGTAGTTGGCCTCAAACTTATAGAACTTCACCTGCCTCTGCCTCCTGAGTGCTGGGAATAAAAGTGTGTGTAACCACTCAGCATAAAACATTCTTAAAACCAATGATTCTTTAATATTGTTCTGGGCAGTAAGATTGGGAACCAAAGAATTTGAGGGACTGCTTCAGGGAAAGGTCTCTGTTTGGTAGAAATGAGAAGAATTAGAATTTTCTTCACTGGTTATTATTCTTAAAAGTCCATGAGCTGAAATCATGCATTGTCACTGTATAGATTTCTAGAAAAAAAACATGTCATTAATCTGTTAGGAATTTTTTAAAAAATTAAAAAATTTAAAATTAAAAAAAAAATGGTAAGTTTATGATGAAGAAAAGGCAAAGAGAAAACTAAGAATCAAGACATATTAAGTTACCTATCTTGTGGTAGCCTATTAGCTTATGCTTTTGGAAGAAACTTCCAGTTGTCTTGAGTATCCTGAAGCAGAAAGCTGCTGGTAATAATATCTTAACAGCATGTATCTCGTGTAAGTTTGACATATTATTTACTGGAAATCATTAGCCTTGCAGAAAAAGTAAAACAAAGTCTAATGATAAACCTTAAGGTGTTTTTTCTTCTGTAATATATATATATATATATATATATATATTTTTTTTTTTTTAAATTCTGCTTTCATATGTTTTTTAGATGTCAAATTTGATTAGCTTCTAGGACATGCTTTCAAAAACTGACTCTGAAAATTAGTATTTTAACTTCATCTTAGAAATTTTTGGGTGCTAGTTTTTATAAAGACTTAATATCTAGGTTTATGAGTATGTTTTCCTGAATTTATGTATGTGTACTATGTATGTGTCTGGTATCTGTGGAGATCAGAAGAGGGTATAGGAGTTTTAGAATTAGAGTTACAGATGGTTGTGAGCCACCATGTGGGTGCTGTTAATAAAACCTGGGTCTTTTGTAAGAGTATCAGTGCTCTTAACCATTGAGCCTCCTCTAAGCCTTAGAAAATTGAACTGATTTTAAAGCTGAAAAATAATCAAAGAATATCATTGAGTCTATTACAAACTACAACCCAGTTTAATTCTATGTTTAGATGAGGAGAAAATGCTTAGGAGTGCTAAAAAGAAGCATACAAGCAAACATTCGTTTTAGTTTATAAGAAATGCCACATATGCGCAAAATCTATTACATTGGATCATATCTGTGGTCAAGCTACTCATTACGTCATTACAAAGAAGATACATATTATGAATATTCAGGTGACTTCCCTGATTAATGTCAGGTGTAGAGTTTTTATAGCTTACTTTCTTTCCTTATTTTATTTATTTATCTTTTTGGTGACTGATGACTTTTAATTCAGGGCAGGTCTTGCCCATGCACTGTCTTAAAAAGAAATAAAATCCCAGGATCATTAAAATCACCTAGACAAAGTTTGACAGAGTATGACACATACTCTATTGTTTATGATTTACTTTCATTTACTAAAATCAGAGAAAGACTACATCAGTCTTAGCATCTTTTATTTCAAGAGGAAATTAGAGCATAACTACCTCTGGAACAATGACTTGAGAAGGCTTGGCTTTGAAAGAGTATGATTTCTCCCTAATCAGATCACATGTCTGCAAGGTACACCATGGGACTTGAATCAAAAACTCAAAAGCAGAGTGGCTGAAGAAGACTGTATTCTTTTCTTGCTTTACCGAAACTGTATCAGTTTCTAGTTTTAGCATATGTTCTGTGAACTCCTGGATGGCCTGTGGTCACTGCTACATTTGCAAAAGTCCTGGGCCACCTTCTGGGCCTTCTGAATGGAACTCCATTCAGCCCCTCTCTCTTCAGACATTCTTCATCACATGCTTTAATGCCACTTCTTTCCAGCACAGACCTATTTTCCTTCGTTTTTCCTGTGCAGTGGCCAGCTTGTGAAACCTGCCAATCTGTTGTGCAGTCTAGCTTTAAGGAAGAGTGCATCTACTTACAATAGGCCCTTTCTGCCTCTGAAAGGCTCTGCCCTGCAGACTATCAAAGCAGATGCTGAGACTTATGGCCAACTGTTGGGCAGAGTGCATGGAATCTTGTGAAAGAAGAGGGAAATAGTAAGATCTGGAGAGGACAGGAACTCCACAAGGAGAACAACAGAACCAGAAAATTTGAACACAGGGGTCTTCCCAGAGACTCATACTCCAACCAAGGACTATTCGTGGAGATAACCTAGAACCCCTGCACAGATGTAGCCCATGGCAGTTCAGTGTCCAAGTGGGTTACATAGTAATGGGAAGAGGGACTGTCTCTGACATAAACTGATTGGCCTGCTCTTTGATCACCTCCCCCTGAAGGGGGAGCAGCCTTACCAGGCCACAGAAGATGACAATGCAGCCACTCCTGATGAGAACTGATAGACTAAGATCAGAAGGAAGGAGAGGGTGACCTCCCCTATCAGTTGACTTTGGGGGAGGGGCAAGCATGAAGAAGGGGGAGGGAAGGTGAGATTAGGAGGGAGGAGGGAGGGCTTTATGGGGGGGATACAAAGTGAATAAAGTGTGATTAATGACAAAAAATTAAAAAACAAAACAAAAAAATCCAATAGGCCCTTTCTGAGATGATCTGCACCTCAGTACCACTTAAACAAACAAACAAACAAAAAATTTAGCATCAGTAGCACCTTTTGCATCATGAGCTGTCATTTCATTTTGTTCTCCCAAAACACATATGTGGCCATTGGTAAGACATCCAGTAATACTGCAAACCAAAAGCTATATCTCCTTCAGCTTCTCTTTGCCAAAAATAGCCAAGTCTTATACTCTTTACTCTGCAATCAGCCAAACGATGACTAAATCTGTATTCATACTATGACAGTTCTTTTAATAATTGATCATGAGCTTAAAATTTTTCTTTTCATTCTTTTTTTCTCTCTCTCTCTTTCTCTCTCCCCTCCCTCCCTTCCTTTCTTCCTTCCATCCTTCCTTTCTAGAAAGGGTTTCTCTGTGTGTAGTCTTGGCTCTCCTGGACTCACTTTGTAGATCAGGCTGGACTCAAACTCTCAGCCATGTGTGTGTTGCTGCCTCCCAGAGTGCTGGGATTAAAGGCATGTGCTTTTAATCCTACCACGCCCAGCTGAGTTTAGATTGTCTTAATACTTATTTTTAGTTGGAATAATGCTGGAGAATTTTTATCGCTTTTGAATAAGATATCTAACTGCACTTCAAGAATTCTTCCAAACTACCATTATTACATGGTTTCAATTTGTATTATTTTATGAAATTATACATTTTACCCACAACCACTTTAAAAAGTAAATTTATTACTGCATGTTCCTTTCTTCATGTTTTTGACTTATATTTAAGTCTATGCTTGTATAGTTCTATGAACTAAAGTTGTTCAGTTTCTTTTAGGTGTAAGCTTTTTATTTTGTACTAAATACTTGAAATGTGAATCTACTTGGTAGTGCTGGGAATTTTTGTAAGAACTCAGTTGTCATAAGTGGCTAATCTTACTGCCTCTTCATCATTTTTTCCTGTAATAATTATATACTCAAAGTAAATACTAAACTTATTTTATCCATAAGTTTTTGTATATAAATAATTAGGTGATTTTTGTTACTGTCTATGGGTTTTGATCCAGTTCATCTTCTCTGGCAGTTAAAGAATTGAAAGGCAGGAAAACTCTCCAGTGAAGCAGGTAGTAGCAAAGAAAACTCACTACAAACAGGAACAGATAGAATCAGCAGGTGAAGAAAGGCGTTTATTGAGGGTGAGGACACAGACACACAGAGAAGACCCTGTGCAATGCAGAGGAGGAATCTAGTCTTTTCTCTAGGACTGAGGCTTCAAATTTCTGAAGGGTCTTCCTTTGTGATGTAGAGTTGCTCAAGGGAAGAGGAACCGAATAGCTGATTGCCTCACAACTGTTGTGTAACTTGTTTTGCTTTGGCTTTGACCTTGTTCTGCTAGAGCCTCTGCCTGGGGTCTTCTGGGGAGAAAAGAAGCCCACAGGCCTTAATTTCAAGCTGCTAGGCTTTTGTCTGCCTCAGGTTGGGAAAGGATTACCATCTTTTATTACCTAGTATGGCCTGTCTTCCTATCCGCCTATTTCTAGTCCCTCTAACTCCTAGTCCCTCAATTTGATGCTTCAAAGTTTTCTTTTAGGTATTTGTATAAAAACTTTTGTTCATTTGAACAAAAGTTAAATTTCAATTTTAATTAGCAAAACTAATTTAATTCAGAACAAAAAATGGAATTCAGTCAGTTCATTTTTAAATTTAAAATTTCTATATTTAATTTTACCAGATGAAATTAAAACTAAAATTACAAAATCTACAGAATTTGCAAACATAATTCAAGAATGAGAAAGTTAATTAAAAATTCCTGGCCTCTTTTTCTTCCCCCAAGAAAGGCAGATAATTATGGAGAGTAGACTGAATATTTTGTGGAGATGGAAAAACAGAACCATAGGGAGAAAAACCAGAATTATGAAGATTTTTTCTTGATTATCAGTCTGAATGAATAAAGATATATTACTAAATAAATTTTAAACCTGAGCCTTAATACCTCATAATATCCGTGATAGATTAAGTACACTGGCAGCTCTTCCGAAGGTCCTGAGTTCAATTCCCAGCAACCAAATGGTGGCTCACAACCGTCCATAATGAGATTTGGTGCCCTCTTCTGGCATGCAGACACACATGCAGGAAGAACACTGAATACATAATAAATAAACAAACAAACAAACAAATAAATAAATGTTTTTTTGTTTTTTGTTTTTTTAAGTTCTTTTCTAGCCTGACTTTGTGGTTCAGGTTTGTAATCCTAGTTATTCAGGAGGGTGAGACAGAAGAACCATGTGTTTAAAGCCCACCTAAGCCATATAGGTGGGCTATCAAAAACAAAACATAAGCATACATACAACTTTGGCAATTGAATTATTCCTACTTATATTCCATTGCTAGGAAATCTCTATTACTGAAGAGTAATAGCGATTGAATTATTTCATTCTATGTTTATTTTCTAAGGAGATACTAGAATGCTTTGTGTTCCTTGTTACTTTTTTGAGACAGGTCTTACTATGTAGCCCTGCCTGGCCTGGAATTTGGTATGTCCAGTAGGAACTCCCAGAGTTATTCCTGCCTCCCTAATGCTGAGATTAAACATATATGCTACCATGCCTTGCTTGCTGTATTTTTTGTTGTTGTTGTTGCACACACTTGATTTACACATTTTAATTTCAGGTAGAATAAATTGTTTTTGTAAATTTTTACTCAGAAGCATGTCTCTTGGGCAGACCATCACTCTTTATAACAAACACAGAGAAATGTAAGAACTTGTAATTATCTGCTTATCAGTAGCTGGCCCAAATACATGATGACTGTTCTTTGAAGAGAAAATATAACACTGCTTTCTGTCTTTTCTTTGAAGCTAACAGTAATAATCTTGTTAGCACTTTAATTTCCTTTTCTTTATCTCCAACCATTACAGTATTTCTGTAACTACTATTTGGGAGAACAGCATTTTCTGATGGATGTAAAATGACACTTTTTAAAAATAATGCACAAAAAAAATCTTTAGTAGCTATATTTTGAAATATTATGAATAAGATATGTCTTAGATTTGTTCTCAAATAATTGGGAAGTGGGTAAAAGACAAGGGTGAAACATGATTAGGCCAGAATTAATCATTGTTTAATCTGGGTGGTGATATAAATGGTTTCATTTTGTTCTGTGTTTGAAAGTTTCCATGGCAAATGAAGAAATAAATTTAAAGCCAGGCATGGTGGCACACGCATTCAGGGAGATAGAGGCAGGTGGATCTCTCTGAGTTTGAGGTCAGCCTGGTCTACAAAGTCTAGGACAGCCAAGCCTTCATGGAGAAACCCTGTCTCAAAAACAAAACAAAAAAGTAAGATGTAGATGGTTATTTTCATAAATTTGAATTCTGCTGTAGAAAATGTTTAAGTATGTGATAATGCTTTTTAATTTTGAACAAGATAATTTTGCTACCTATAAACTAAACTGAGTGTGGTGGTATATACCCAAATCCTAGTATTTGGGAAGCTGAGGCAGGAGGCTTCCCATGACTCAAGAACAATTCTAGAGATCTTGTCTCAATAAAATAAAATATATATATATATATATATATATATATATATATATATATATATATATATATATATATATATTTAAGTAGGCATTTTCACTATGCTAGATAGAGGTATATAAAGCTAGATAAAAACAAACTATGAAAAATGGAAGCTCTTGTTTATTGCTGAAGCATGTTTTCCTGAGTGACTGTATTTAGCTCTCATTGTTTCAGGTAGTCCAGCAGTCTTCTGGAGGCATTGCCAATCAAGTGACCACCATTTCCCATTCTTCACCATTGACCACTCAGAAATGTGGGCAGAAGACGACAGTAAGCTCTGTAATGCCTGCTAGTAAGTTTCCTCCATGCTGGCCTTCCAGCGTCATCACAGTGAACCTTGAACATGCAGGGCTTGCACTTATTGTTCAAAGATAAGTTTAAGAGATGATTGAAAGATAACTGTCATATTTACATAAATACTACATACATTTTAGGGGTTTATATTGTTTTTGAAATAAACAATTGCTTATTGTATTATTATATAAAACATTCTAGCAGTAAATATGTGTTTAAGATATGCCAATATAAAATATTACATTTTTAGTCACCTTTTGAGCATGATTTTTATGATGATGCTAACCCTAAAGACAATTTCAGACTACATAAAAACTTAATCTAGAGATCTTTATAAGATGATTTTTTATGCATGGGTTACATTCACTACCCTATATAAGTTTAAATGTAATTCTGGGCAGCTTAAGACAGTGTTTGATTATTTCATATTTACTGAAAATTGTCCTGAATTTTCCTAATATGATGTGATTCTCTCTCTCTTTCTCTCTCTCTCTCTCTGTTCTACTTTTTTCTTTCTTTTGTTTTTACAGCATCCATCATAAAGCAAATTACTCTACCTGGAAATAAAATTCTGTCTCTCCAACCTCAAACATCTTCTCTTCAGAACAATAGAATAAAAGAGAATGGAACAACATGTTTCAGGTAAAGAAAACCAGTTAAAATTTGGACTGATGTGTGGAAGTGAAGTTTTAGGGAGAAGGATGGTAAAGAATCTTTCTAAACAATCAGATATGAATGCCTGTAACACATTAAAAAAGAGACAACCCTGACTGGATTCTTAGCACCCACCCATGTGGCAGGTCATAACCTGTAACTCCAGGTCCAGGGGATGCAGTGCTCTCTTCTGGCCTCCATGGGTACTACACATGCATGAAGTTAACAGACGCAAATACGGACAAAACAACCATATACCTCATAAAAAATAAACATTTCTAGCATTTTACTGAATATAATTCATAAATACCAGACAAATCATATGTGCTTTTTTCATGCTTTTTATTGAAAAACCTACTTGGTCATGTACCCTTTAGATTGTTTACCTCTGTCTCCTGCTACTGCCAGTCCCTGTTCTTAGCCTGTCACTGCAGATAGCAAATCATTTTTGTCTATTCTTGAACTTTATATAAATAGAATATTATTACTTTTGTCTTCTTTTACTTCTAATTTTGCTTCTGTAGTTCCTGGTAATAACAGGAGTGTTCTGAAAATATTAAATGTAAAATTCTAGAAACATATACCTTTTTCTTAATGTGTCACTCTGAATGGTATGATGAAGTAAGTCTAGTGCCATCATGTTCATCATCCCTTTGTCCAGTGTGTGCAGAATTGATAGGGTGCCCCATATCAGTTGGTCAATCGGTAGCCATTGGGTTCAGGTAAGTTTAAGGCTAGGCCATGTCACAGTGCCCATGATGCTCACTTTGCTTCATCTTCTTACGTACTCATTATATCTTCTATTCTTACCATCATAAAAATGTTGAGTAGGTTATTTAGAGGACTGAGAAAAAAGACATTAAACTCTTATAAATATATTGTTATAATTATTATTAATTAACCTTACTGTAGCTATTATAGATTAAACTTATTGTAGATGTCTGTGTATAAGAAAATAACATCATATACATAGGATTTGATTCTAAGACCACTTGTCCAATTTGGAAGGCTTTAGATGTTTACCCTTTGGGAGAGTAGATGCTTTTTGATACAGGGTCTTTTATTGTTGTTGTCTTGGCACTCTTGAGTTTTCCATTTTTAAGACTTTCATCTTGAAAACAAGGCACTTTCTTTCTTTTACTTTTCTCTTGCCAAGAATCACTTTCCAATTATCCTCTGACTCCAGGCCTTTTTCTGTTAGTGTATTTTGTCCTCATGCCCATTGCTACCTCTGTTTTCTCTTTCCTGGGGCCTTTGCACTCTGTTTCTGGTTACCATGAGGTTTGAGGCATATATTAGGCATCATAGAATGAGTGGCTATACCCTGAGATTTATTTTTTATTTAGAAGTAATTTGTAGTTTGATATTCTTTGTCTTTAGGCTACACTGAAGCTGTAGCTATTGTTCTGTATTGGTTTTGAAGGAAATATTAGAAGACAATGATGTATTTATATATTCAATGTTTCAGTTCAGTGAGTTTTGACAAAAGTCTGAACTGATATACCCGGTACTATATTCAAGATAAAAAGAATATTTCAGCATCCCAAAAGCTTTGACAGCCAGTCCTACCCTAGGCCCCAGACCATCCCTGATCTGGTTCTCAACCCTGAAAGTTAGATTTGGGAGCAAGGTGCTCTATCTTTTCTAGTCTCTAAAGTTAAAAGTTTAGTTCATTAAACTTGGGTTTTTCTTGATCTAACATTTAAAAATTAAAATTTTTACTTTGTTTTTGTTTATGTCAGTACTTTGTTTCCTTTTTAGTGGTGCAATTATCTGAGATTTCTATGATTTGTATTTTTCTTCCAAAATATCTTTTGGTCAGAAAACATGATCTAAACATTTTTAGTTTAAATTTAAACTTAAATTTAAATTTAAACATTTAAATTTACTAGGAGACATTATATTGACTCTTGATGAGTATCCTCTGAGCGTCTGGTTTAGGTAGAAGTTTTTCTAAATGTTAGTTTGTTAAAGGTGATCAGTGGTACTAACATTTATAAAGACTTTTGTAGCTTTTACTATAACTTACACAGAATGAATAATAAAATACTTCTGAGTGTAGGCTCGCTCATCATTTTATTACTCTTTTATATTATGTGCTTGAACAATATGATCCTAAGAATATTTGTTCTTAGTGTTCCTCAAGCCACTAGGAATATGACTACATACATAAGGGGAGTGCTCAAACCATAAGGCAGGAATGTACCTTATGGTTCTGTCACTCAGGAGTTGATAACCCTCCAATTTTGGCTTGCTTTTGTTTTGTTTTCAAATGGCTTTTCTTTTGAAAGTGTTTTATAATTGTTACTAATCAAACATTTTGTAAAACTGTTAAAAATGGTAACCCCATTTCTTTTTTTCAACAAAGTATTGTTCTATAGCATAGTTATCTATCTTTTTTTCAGTAGGAATAATTAATAATAAATCAAAGCTACTCTAAAGCTGGTGCCTTATTTTTCAAATACCTAAGTTACTTTGAAGTTTTCTTATTTATTGTTCTATTGCTATGAAGAGATACCAAAATCAAGCAGCTTATAAAAGAAAACATTTAATTGGGGCCTTTCTTATAGTTTCAGAGACTGAGTCCATGACCATTACGGTGGAGAGCTTGGCAGGCAGGCAGGCTGGCCGGCTGCCTGGCTTGGTTCTGGAGAAGTAGTGGAGAGCCAATATTTGGTCCAAAAGAGGAGGCAGAAGGAGAGCTTGAGATTGGACCTAACATGGACCTTGGAAACTTCAAAGCCCACCCCTAATGATACACCTTCTCTGACAAAGACACACCACCTAACCACTCCCTGGGAGTCTTAAGTGGGGACCAAGTATTCAAACATAGGAGTCTTTAGGGGCTATTCTCATTCAAACCACCACAGTATGGTTTTTGTGGTTTCCCTTTGGAAAAGACTTAATCCAGAGAGGCCTGAAGCGAACCAGTAGAAATCATCTCAATCCAGACTGTGTGATTCAGGTCCTTCATAGTTAGTTGTTAACTTTCCAAGACTGTAACTTTTGGTGTCTTGTATCATATAGCCCCTCAAGATTTCAATGGAGATTTCAGGCAGAGGAGTCGAGAGCTTCTGGGAGACACCCAGGCTCCTGTTGCTTTTGGTGACTGAGATATCCAAACAAGGGGCTTTTTCCAATATGCTCAAATGCTCAAACATGTTTAACTAAGGCATTAAAGGTTCCTCACATGAGGCACCAAAATATGTTGACTATACTGCTTCTCTTTCCTTCCTGGACTGTGAAGCCCAAGTATTATTGCCCTGGTACTTGTGAAGTGCTTAAAATTCACTGTGCTTCTCATAGGACATTTGTTTGTTTGTTTATTTGTTTGTTTATTGCAGGGGCTTGGCTTCTTTAATTTTTTTCGGTAAATACCTCACTGCTTTATATGGTTCATCCCCCCTACTTTAAGTCTTATACACTCTGAGTTCCAACTTTATGTCTCTTGTCTTCACAGGATGGCCTGATGCTCTGTTGGCTTTTCTGCCCCTTAGGAGCTGCTGGTTTTGTGTCTGTTTAGTATCTTGTTCTATATCAAGACTGTACTTATTCAAGTAAAAAACTGTATGGAGAAAATGGATCTGCCTTAGTGAGGCTATAGACTTGGGACTACGATTCCTCATATCTGGTTCCCTTGGCAGCTTTCTAATGCCTCCACATAAACTTTGAAAAAAGTTATTGTGGTTCATATGTATAGATGGGTGTGTATATGAATGTATATATGTATACATACATATCCTGATATATGATATTGATCTACAAACAGTAGGTTGTGTTTAAACCTATCTATATTGTATATAAACCTTATGATAACTTTTCATAGTTCTTATTCAAATACAGAGTCAGTGTTTTAAGACCCATGTTCTCTATGGTATAGTTTGAACTGAAAAATTTAATTCTAATGTATTTGAATTTGTGGACTTTCAAAAAAATTTATTAAAATTTATTCACTTTGTATCCCAGCTGTAGCCCCCTCCCTCATCCCCTCTCATTCTCCCTCTTCTCCTCCCATGCCCCTTCTCCAGTCCACTGATAGGGGAGGTCCTTCTCCCCTTCCCACTGACCCTAGCCTATCATGTCTCATCAGGACTGGCTGCATTGTCTTCCTCTGTGGCTTGGTAAGGCTACCCCCCACATCAGAGGGAGGTGATCAGAGAGCCAGTCACTGAGTTGATGTCAGAGACAGTCCCTGTTCCCATTACTAAGGAACCCACCTGGACACTGAGCTGCCATGGGCTACATCTGTGCAGGGATTCTAGGTTATTTTCATGAATGGTCCTTGGTTGGAGTATCAGTCTCACAAAAGACCCCTGTGCCCAGATATTTTGGATCTGTTGCTCTCCTTGTGGAGCTCCTGTCCCTTCCAGGTCTTTCTGTCTCCCCCTTCCCTGTACTCTGCCCAGAGTTTCACTATAAGTCTCAGGATGTAATTTGCTGACTTTTTGAAGTCCTATTTAGACATTGTTTAAGAGATTCTTCAAATAGAACATGAGTACAGTGTTTACTGTCGCCTTGTCCGAATTTTACTTCTATTTAAATAGTCGTGTCCATAGGGTTTGTTTTGTTTTCTTCTGCTGTAGACTAGGGTTCTTAATCATAGCATTATGGGAGAATTAGTGATACACAGCATGTATATGTACAGGGGACTTTTTTTTAAATACAGAAGTTTGTCTTTTTTTAAGATTTATTTATTTATTTATTTATTATGTATATAGTATTCTGCCTGAATATATGTGTGCAGGCCAGAAGAGGGTACCAAATATCATTGTAGATGGTGGTGAGCCATCATGTGGTTGCTAGGAATTGAACTCAGGACCTCTGGAAGAGCAACCAGTTCTCTTAACCTCTGAGCCATCTCTCCAGCCCCCTACAGGGGACTTTTAAGGGCTTAGATTTACAGTTAGCAAATAACTCATTATTGTTTTTCCTTCTATCCTTGTACCCCATAGCGTAGGCTGGAGAATAAAAGTGCTATACATAGTGAG